TAAATACTTACTTCTGAGAACGCTAATCTGTCCTTTTAATAAATTGAGCATTGCAGTAAAGTCTATGCTTCAAGAGTCTACACTTAATAATTCAGGGATTTTTAAAAATTCATTCTTTTATAGATTGCAACAAACATTTTGTCATCAAAAGGGGAGGGTTTTTTTCTCCAGAACTAGGGACTTGACCTTGTACTAATGCTGTTTCATTTATTGATATTTATTTACTTATAAAATGTTAGAAATCAATAAGTAAATAAAAGATAGGATTCTGTTTGAAAAATTGGATAAGACTTTTTGTGCATTCTTGGTAATAATAACCTAGAGTAAATTTTTCAGCTATTTCTCTATAACCTTTTATTTTGTTTGACAATATATCTTAGATATCATGTCGACAGAAAAGAAGTAGGACTTTGTCACTGGATGGCTAATAGTCTTATACACATAGCTAGGTAGCCAAGGCATTTAAAGGAAATGCATGTTGAGGTGAAACCTTGAAGGGTAAAATTCTGTTCAAAGCAGGAGATGCACTTATCTTGTGACAATGTTCTAATTCAGTCATTTTCTCTGTTTTGCTGAATGACTCATGAAGTTGTAACAAATGTATCTAATGGATGTAGGTGCAGTAGATTACTTTGTCTCATTCTGAGGGATGTTGAGCATCCAAGGGATTCCACTGTCCTTCCCATTTTAAGAAAATCATTTATTTTACTTCAGTGGGAGTTGCAGCTCTTAAGCACCCCTTTAGATCGAGCCATACACGATTAAATACCTACATTTTTGTGATGGTCTTGGAAAAGAGACCTCTGAGATACTTCTATCACCTGGAACCTCTTATCCCTGAATTTGTAGGGTTTTTTTGTTTTTTGTATTTAAAGCAAGGTAGGTTGCATATAGTAAAAGGGTTTTCTTAAACTTTTAGCCAAAAATCTTGTTTCCTATCTTGCTAAAGCAGTGGCTTGGCTTGTGTATATCCCCATTCAATATAATATTCTATATACATAAAAAGCTTAGTCCGTCTGTCTGTCTGTGTGTCTGTCCATAACGCTCTTGGAGCACTCTGATTGGTTGTCTTGGCAGCCAATCACAATGCTTACTGAAACAACCAATCTGAGTGCTCTGCACAGACAGACAGCCGGGCGGGGGTGGGACATGGAGCAGGGGGTGTGGCACGTGGGGGGGCACGTGGCACGTGGCCAGATGCAGAACGGTGGCTGTGTGGGCTGGTGGCTGGCAGCGGCAGTCATAACGTGCAAGTTTTCCCCCCTTCCCCACCTGGCTCCCAGGAGGCGGCAGCAGTGCGGGGTGGTGGCACATGGCGTGCTGTGTCTTTGCTCCCCCCCCCCCCCCCCCCCTCCCC